ATATATATATATATATATAACCTAACGATATATATATATTTTATTAATCTAAAACTATGATACAATGTAACTAGCTTAAACTAAAAATGCTCTCTAAAGAAGACGGATGGTCGCAAGTCCAAAGACGGAAAACTTCGCCGAACATTTTGGCAAACAATGGCGACTGGGATGTAATAAACTTCTTCGTCACAAACATTCCCAACGGAGTCACCAAAACAGAGTTTAAGAATATATTTTCATCATTTGGAAGACTATCAGTCGTATATTTCGAGGGGGGGGGGGTAGAGAGAAGGCAGAAACGGGAAAAACTTTGGGTTTATGATATTTGCTTGCGTATCGGATGTGAAGGAATTAAAACACAAACTAAACTGGACGAAGTGCAGGAACAATTCCTTGGAGGTGAACATCGAAAGACATAAAAGAAAGGATCCCACGTTGTAAGTAAGTAAACAGGTGCCTATCACCCCCAAAGTCACCATCAATTGCGGGGGGAACCCCACCCGAAAAGTTGGGGGTGGTTTTAGGGATGGGAGGTCCTTCGCGGAAGTAACTAGTCACAGTCATGATCCACCGCCCCTCTTAAGGTATCGTCACCTCCTAAACAATTACAAATAGATGAATCAATGGATCGTTGGTTACAGTGTAGGGTCTTGTTGGGCGAGGCTAAAGTTGTACAACACCTTGCCCATATGCCGACGTTGGTATCTATTCACTATGACAAACCAGTTTAAGTTAAATACAAGGATTCTTTTAAGATTTGACAAGGCTGAATCAGCTCAAGAATTCCTACAGAATGAAGGAGTTTGAAAGGAACTATTCAATTGGATCTCAGATGGCGACTTATCAAATGTAAGCTTTGAAAGAATAGTATGGATAAAGATTGTGGTGTTACCACTCAGATTCTCGAGAAAATCAAACTTCGAGAAAATCACTCTACAGTTTGGAAGAATTATTGTTCCGTTTAATGATATCAAACACCGTACTGATCTGTCATGTACCACACTTGGCATCATCACTAAGCATAGAAAAAGTAATAATGTTGAGATATCGGTATAAATCGGAGGCAAGTTTGTGATGGTCGGTACTGTGGAGTTTGAAAAACCCTTTTCTTTCGAATAAGAGAAGCAACTGTATGTTTCAAATATCGAAAATAGATTGGATATGGTACAGGGAACGAAAAAGGCACAAGATAATGAGAATCATGGTATTTCGCAATCAGAAGCCAATGAAGTGGAAGAAGGTGAAACCGTGGCAGAAGAGATAGAAACCACACCGGTGAATTCTAGGGATGAAGGGGCGGAACCTACGACGAATGTACCAGTTGCCATAATTACAAACGATGGGCACAATTTTGGAAAAGCAACGGAATCCAAAGAGTCGAGGTTATTAATTAATGAATACGAATAAGCTACGTTGGAGGCTATGCACGAAAACTTTCATGCAAATAATTACAGTGGGACCCAGGTAGTTGAACGCAACATGGACTCAAGTGACGAGCCCACAAATGTCTTATTAAAAAATGCCCCACTTGGGTAGTTTGGCCCGTTTAATTCCAATGGTCCAATACAATTTCCATTCCGGAGTCAAGTAGATCCTGATCCAGAACCTTCAAAGGATATAGCTTCACGTAAAAGAAGAACTCAATCTCTGTCGTTATTGATGCCTCAACCACCGTTGTTTTAATTGGTGATTCTACTCCCCCAGTTCAATCGTCTTGTACCCATATTGTCGCAACGATTCCTTCCCCTGTAACAACGAATTCACCCACTGGTGCAATAGACCTAAATCACGTACCTGACCCCCCCCCCCCCCAAACCAGGGATCAGAATTAGATGGAACGGAAGTCTTAAATGGTGTCGAGCTAAATGAAATTGAGATGACTGTCAAGATTGGGAACGAAATTGGTTTTGATATGTCAACTGAGGATCCCATTCTTGCATAAGTCATGGGTATATATGGTGAGAATATTGCTATCTAATGAATTTGTTAACTTTAAACATTCGGGGGATTGGGGAAGATCGCAAAGTGTCGTTGGTTCGTAGATTGGTAAGAAAACACAAATTATCTTTTAATGGCATTCAAGAGACTCAATTGGTGCACTCGGATGCTATCAATGTGGAAAGTTGTTGGGGCTCAAAACAATGAGAGGCAAATTGGGTGCACGTGACTGGTAGACCTGGGGGACTTTTAAACATATGGGACCCAATGGTTTTTTCATCCTTGGAAGTCATCAAATCGCGACATCGCCTAATCAACATCGGCAATAGGGTTGGGATTGATAAACTTGTTATTCTAGCTAATATCTATGGACCACGATCCACCCCTGATAAAGAGAAACTGTGGGACGATTTTCTCAGACTAAAATCGATCAGAGAGGGAATTTGGATACTATTTGGGGACTTCAATGCGGTCAGGAGGAAGGAAGAAATATTCAACTCCATGTTTTGTGCACGCACTCCACTTGGTTTCAACATATTTATTCATGAGGGTGGATTGAATTGTCACACCCCCAAACCGGAACGGCGGAAACGTTCGGGGGCGGAGGACGTCATGCTCAGTATCATAACCA